TATTATTAAGTTTTGGTTTTGTTATTTATGAGAATTACCAAGATTCTTGACCGTTGAAATGGATTTAAATACTTATTTGACAATTTTTCTAGCTTTATCTGTTTTGTATTGGGCTGCATTAATGATTTTATTTTATTTTGTTGTAGAATTACAAAAATATGTCATCATCTGGACAAAATTCAACTGCTGCATCTTCTCAAACTTCAAGGGCCAAACACAGATGCAGCATGGGAGCATTGTGTTGAAGTTGTAGAAGGCACAAAAAAATCAATTAAATGTCTGCACTGCCAAAAGGCATTTAGAGGAGGAGGCATTAACAGAATAAAACAACACCTTGCTGGAAAGGGAGGAGATGTTAGGAAGTGTAATAAGGTGCCATTCGATGTTCGATATCGGATGCAACAGAGTTTGAAGGAAATTGAAGAAAGTAAGAAGCAAGCAAAAAATGTATGGGAAGAGAATCCATTTGGACATTGTGATGAAGATGCACCAGACTTGCAAGAGATTCCAAATCCTTCTACGGCTCCACAATCTCAAGTTAAAGGGAAAGGGTTAGAAATTTCAGCAAATAAAAAAAGGAAGGCAAGTGGGATAGAAAATTATTTTGCCCCAAGAGCCACTCCTGGAGCTCAACCATCAATTAGAAGTGTCTTGGCAGGTAAAGATGCCCTCCATAATGCTGATTTGGCCATTGCTAGGTTTTTTTTTGATAGTTGTCTGCCCATAAATGCTCTCAATTCCCCTTACTTTCAACCTATGCTTGATGCTATTGCTGCAATTGGTCCTGGTTATAAGGCACCAAGCTATCATGCCATGAGAAGCAATTTATTGCATAATTTAAAACAAGAGGTCCAACTGTTGGTTAATTCTTATAGGAATATTTGGGCAGAAACTGGTTGTACTATTATGCGTGATGGTTGGCAAGATCAAAAAAATAGGCAATTAATTAATTTTCTTGTCTATTGTCCTAGAGGAATTACTTTTGTGAAATCTGTTGATGCCTCTGATGTGGTTAAAGATGCTTCCATGCTTTGCAATTTGTTCAGGGAATTGGTTGAATTTGTGGGTTCTGATAATGTTGTGCATTTAGTGACTGATAATGCAGCAAATTATAAAAAGGCTGGGAGATTATTAAATGACATTTATCCTACAATCTTTTGGTCTCCTTGTGCTGCACATTGTTTGAATTTAATTTTGAGTGATATTGGGAAGTTGGAAGTTGTTAGTAATCTTGCAAGTCGTGCATCTTTGGTATCCAAATTTATATACAATCATCCTTTCTTGTTAGCTTGGCTTCGGAAAAGGGAAGGATGGACAGAAACTATACGTCCTGGGCCAACACGTTTTGCTACAACATTCATTGCATTGAAAAGCATTCATGAGCATAGGCATGATTTACAAGCATTGGTGACTAGTCTAGAATTTAAAGAATCTAGATACTACAAAGATCATAAGGCAAATGATGTTGTGGCTGTTGTTTTAGATAAAAAATTTTGGAATAATTGTGAGCTTGTTGTGAAAATTGTGGGGCCACTTATTCAGTTGCTTAGAATTGTGGATGGTGACGAGAGACCTTCACTTGGATATGTCTATGATGGCATGTATAGAGCTAGAAAGGCCATCAAGACTATACTAATGAATAGGAAGTCTCTGTATAAGCCTTATACAAGAATTATAAAGGGAAGGTGGGATAGGCAACTTCGTCAAAATCTTCATGCTGCTGCCTATTACTTAAATCCTGCTTTTTTCTATGATAAAGAGAGTTTCTCAACCAAAAAAGAGGTCATGAAAGGCTTTATGGATGTTGTGGATGCAAAAGTGCCATCTCGGAGGTCTAAATTTTTGAATGAGTGTGAGTTGTATGACAAGAAAATGGAAAGTTTTGGTCGTGAAAGTGCTCTTGAATCCTCAAAAACTATGACACCCGGTAAGATTTCAACTCTTTATTTTTTTTTTAAGATTATAGTACTTTTATTTAATTTTTTATGATATTTAACTTTTTAACATTTGTATACATTTTTTCTTTTTGTTTTCTCCATAGATGAGTGGTGGAAATATTTTGGATATAGTGCTCCAAATCTTAAAAAATTAGCAATACAACTCTTGAGTCAAACATCATCTTCTTCAGGGTGTGAAAGAAATTGGAGTGTATTTGAAAGAATACACACCAAGAAGAGGAATAGATTGGAGCATCAAAGGTTGAATGATCTTGTCTATGTCCATTATAATTTGCGTTTGAAGCATAAGTACTTTATCCAATCTACATAATACTTATACTATATTAATAAAGTTTCATTTTTTATTGTTTATAATTTTATATATTCTTATATTTTTGTTATGAAAATTTTATTTTTTATTTTGAATAATAGGAATGATAACAAAAGGAAGACTTGCTTTGATCCTATTGATTATGAAAGCATAGAGAATGTTGAGGAATGG